CTAATACTAATAATGAATAAAACCTCTTCCTCCGACAATACTTATGTCTTCTCCCTCTACCAACACAAATACTACTAATAACAAGACTACCAAAAATCTTCCTTCTTTTTCTCCCTCCAAAACTTCCAACGCTACAAACACATTACTACTTGTTATCTCCCGAATGGTTTCACACTCCATCATCACAAAATCAGTTTGTAATGGGAGAAACGAAAGCATATGGAAGAGTTTATTCACACAAAAGAGCAAATCACTATTATAATTGTCGTCATTGTCGTCGCCATTGTCATCATCATTATCATTGTCATCATCATTATTATCATTATTATCATTGTCGTTATCATTGTCGTCATCATTATCATTGTCGTCGTCATCGTCGTCACCATCACCACCATCACCATCAGCAGTAGCAGCAGGAGGCAAGATATTGATTATTTAATCAGTTCCAATTAGGTATTTGAAGTTCGAAGAATTAAGTTCGTCATAATCTTAGATTGAATCAATATGTAAACAATTAAGAGTACCTGAAATAATTAAAGATAGAGTCGATGTATGAATAAAATTAATTTCTATTGACAATTATATATATATTAATATATATTGCTTATTAACCGTTGTCCTTACCTTTAAACCTGTTGCTTATTGTTTGATTCTCCTTTACAATCCATAATTCACATAAATACTACACTCCCATTCAATGATTGAGTTGGTGTAATTTTTTATCTGTACATCTTCTCCACCTTCTGAATATTTAATTATGTCCCCCTTCGAAATAACAAATGTTGGAGAAACTTTTAATTCATCAAATATATTATTATTTACTATCCATAATTACCAAAAAATTGGTAGCCAAGAATGGCTTTTGTGAATTGCACAATCGTAATTATAATTAATAACATAACTAAACTATGCAGTATTAATATCATTTCTATTACTTATAAAGGTTTCAGTTGTTATTTTAAACATATCCAAACCAATTAAGTGGATTATAACCACCAACTATTTAATTTAAATTTCCTGTTATCCCACTCTTTAAAAAGTTCAATAAGGGTTGGCATTGGATATAGCGGATATTATCCAATATTCAACAGTTGTCAGTTGGACACGGACACTGGATATGTATTGGCATGTCCACAAGATGTATTGGACAACTTCTAACATTATTGTTGAGATCTTGTGTAAAACTTACAAGCCTGTTGCAAGTTTTACATCAAATCAATAAAAAAAAAAATCTTTTTTTTCTTTGATATTTGTTTTGTCTCTTCTCTTCACTGTTCATGAGACCACAGTAACTAGAGCTGGTTCTTTTTAAGGTTTCTACCAATATATCTAGGATTGGATCGATTCAAACTCCACCTCAAACCCCAGTTGAACCGTTGTTTGAATTAATAATATTTGTTATTCTAAAAATTTTCTTTTTTCTAGACAAAAGAATCGGAACGCGTGTTTTTGTTAATTGCGCAAAAACGTACATAATAATAATAACAGCAACTCATTAAATTTATACCATGTGTAGCTTCTTAAGTTTGATGTTTCAAATTTATTTTCTATGAAAATTATCCTTCTTGTTATTTATAAGCTACGTGAAGATAGGAAAGTAAAACTTGTTCCTCATATTTGAAATCTTTACGTAATTGTCTTGTTGAACTTTAGGAATATTTAAACAAGAATGTCATTCCTCCAGCTGATTTCATATATAGTCAAATATTATATTCGTAAAGCTATTGCTTCGTATAGTAGCTTTTTTAGGACCTTTGCATGTGTTACTAAATACTAGAGAATCAACAATAAAAATATTTTTATCGCTTACACCTCTCCATGGTTGGTAACAGTTATTATTGTCATTTAGGTAATATTATACCAGCAACATTAGATATTTTGAAACAATCTTTCGACTTTTGACTATAATGTGGCAATTTGGGGAGAAAAATTATGATAAGATAGTAATGGCTTTATCTCTAATGTTCTTCATTGAACATCCCATGTATACTATTTTATCTGAGAATTTAATGAATATTTGGTAGAGAATTTTCATAGCCTAATTTGTCAACAAACTGTGGGTAAAAGTTATAATCCAAAAGGATTAAAGTGTGATGCAATACCCAATGAAACAAACAGCTCTTTTCCTTATTGTTTTTTTTCAAAAAATTTGGCTTAATTCAACATCTTCGCAATCTACGTCACAATTTACAACCACTTCAATTCCCAATCAATTTCATTGATATTAGGACATTATTGGTAATTTTACCCATTCTTTTCGATTTTTGTGATAACATCTCTTTCATAAAGATAATACGAGACACTGTTGTTCGTGAACGTTTTACTTTTTAGTCAATATGTGTGGTAGTCAAAAATATATTTTTTAATTTATTTACAAATAAATTTTCGAGAGCACAAGTATAAACACTTTTTTAGCTCAATTATTTAATAAACCGCTGTAAAATTAATAATAAATTTATTGCAATATCATTAACAAAATTTTCATTTTTTCTTTAGACCCAGGATTATTAAAGCTAACAAACACTACTACTACTGTAGTTCGTCGTCGAACTAAAACAAAAAAATTAAAAAAGGATATATATACATAGTCGATCCCTGTACCCTAAATTTTACAGGGAATTTTAAAAAAGGACAGGGTACATGGTGCGACTATATAAATTATGCGTGCGCGTGTTTGTTTATTTTAAAATTCGATCATGTACATTCATTCTCTTTGAGAGAAATTCTTGGTGTAAAGATTGCATTCATTCTTTAGATCCGAAAGAAGACATAGAAAGAGATGGTGAAAACGTTTAAAAACGGCAGTATATCGATTTTTTATACGTATCTTTGCTATAAATCACTAAATATGTCTACCTTTGTTTAATCAAACGAATTTGCTATTCT